CGCAGGGTACCCTCAAGGTCAAGATTCAACTTTTCTGCCGTTGGGGCAGTGAATCGATTTCGGATCAGCGGTTGGCAGCAAGTCTGTCGGTGGGCGAGGTGATGACGCACACAGCCAATGCCTTGGAAGTCCAGGTAGACCAACCCAAAGCCAAGAGGATGGTCATCCAGAACGCCCTGGAGACACAGTGCACCCAGACACTGCAAAGCGCCACACAGACCAAGGAAGAAATTGAAAAGATCCTGACTGAAATCAGGAACAAGTCCATGTTGATGAACGAAAAGTGGACAGAAGAATTGTCCAGGAAGTTCTTGCCCAAGTTTGCGCTGAACAAGTCTACCAGCACCTTCCATGCTGTGAGAGATTCGCTCAACACTGGATGCGGATATGAGTACCGCAATACCCGCAAACGCCGATTTACCAATGAAATCCCTGACCCAGACGCATCGAGATCCTCAGCGCGCATGCGCAAGAAAGCGGGGTGTGTCAAGATGTTGGAAGCCTATGCCCGTTCACTCTGAGCAAAGAGGAGAGAAAAGAAGGGCGCCCGTATTGGCTGTAAGGGGGGGTGATGGGAGTAGGACTCCACACCAACCCGGTCAATGGAACCGACTGGTGCTGAGAGGTACGAGCAGATGTCCGATGTGGACGCTCACTACCTCTTCACCAGGCTATGACCTTCGCTGTGAAGGCGGGTCATCTTTCGGCAGCCTTTACGGAAAATGGGCGGAGTGGGTTCAGGGAGATGTTATTTTCCTTCTTTTGATTGTGGAAACTGCGCGTGTTATGTGAAGCAGAACTACATGCGATAGTTTCCTCAGCATCAGATGGAATCTACATTCGCGCAGTTCTTGAATTTGCTCTTGGGACAGAGGTGGACCATTATATATGCACTGACTCATCAAGCGCGCGCCAACTTGCGATGAAGAGAGGAGTTGGAAAGGTGAGACACTTAGAGGGAAAGCTGCTATGGATTCAGAGCAGGAAAGACTTCAAGATGGTACAACTGCCACAGATGGCAACATAGCAGATATCAACAGAAAACCACTTGGAGGAAAAAGAATCAGATGCAGGAAAGGTCAGAAATGGAGAACGGTAGCGTTGGAGGGCTTGCAGCCAATGGTTACAGAAGCATTCTTTGAAAAAGACAATAGTGGATTGGACGCAGTGAAGAAATCCAAGGAAGAATGGAAGTTCTGGATTGTCATGATCATTGTGTTCAACGTCATCGGTTTTGCAGCAATCAATCATGTTTGTGAGTTTCCAAACCTACAAACATTTTGAAGTGTTACATGCAGATTTTGCTCATACAAACAGCTTCATGACAGGATCCTATGAGACGATAGCCAAGGGGATTGACAAGCGAATTTATGATTTTGAAGTGAGGAGTTGGAATTTTGAGATAAGAAGAACTTGAAGGGAAGTTAGAAACACTTCGAGACTATGCCAGGAGGATTCACAGTGGATTGATTCTGAATGGAGGCTTTGTAAAAAGAGAAACACCGAGTCGACAGGCTATTCTTAGCTACAATATCCTGAGTGAGATCAACGCAGGAAACCACCTAGCCAGAAGGAGTTTTGAAGCTATGCAAGCCACAGAAGGATGGTATGAAAGGGTGACGCTAGAGGCAGCCCATGAAGGAGCAAACCCATCAGAGGGACTCTTGAACAAAGCATTCAGAAAAGGATACAGAGAGGTATCAATGAGACCAGAGTATATAAATATGCAAGCAGTACAGATGTGTGGTAGGCCCCATACCAAAATTGAGGACATGAAAGAACAAGAATGGAACCTACTAGGACTAGGAGACCAGGATTCTGCGGGTAGAAGTGAGCGAGAAGTATGAAGAACTACTTGGAATAGCAGAATACAGGAGGGACAACCCAGATGTTGAACCAACAGAAGCACGGTTCAGGAACCCAGCTCCTGTAGTGGGAAGATATGAATAAACCTGCAGAAAGAGAGCGAGAGACAGAGACACGGACAATAATTGAATGGAAGAAAAATGACTATGGTGGCAAAGTGAGCTCAAAGAAGCATTTTAGAGTCACATCGCCAAGAAGGAGCGGAGCGCGAACCATTTTCCATAGGAATCAGCGTGCAGAAGCATAGCAATACTAGCATCATGGAAAGAACAGTTTACTTGTACACTTTGTGCATGCGAGTTGATTGCAACCGTTTTGCAAGACAAGGTAAAGTGCGTACATGGAAAATATTCCGCACGTACCACGCATAAGAGCCTTGACATCCGAATGTCGCTGACAGAATCGTGCGAACAGCCAAGAAAGTGAGAAGCTGCAGCACTGTTCCTTATTGGCACAGATAAACCTTGGGCAGAGTGCAGAACGGAGCAATGAACAAATACAGCGAACAAGAACACAGGACAATCAGAGTAACGCCAAAGAATACACAAAACAAAGGCCGTCATCATCTTGATAAACAATTGAATTTACAATCCCATTGCAGTGATGCAAGTTTCAGTGAACCAACACGAAGGGATTGAGAGCGATATGATCAATGATGTGTGTTGATGGGAGGCGCCCTCGGAGGCGCGATGAACATAATGTGTTGATGCTGTGTGCAGTGAGATTTGTGGTGTTTGGTGACTTATGATGTGGCGAAGTGTCACGCAAAAAAATATTGTGTGACGCGACAGGTGTAGTTTTAAATCAATGCAAAAAACTGCGACATGGTGCACAGACTTATGATGTCCATCACCTAGGGGTATGTGACGTGGTACGTGAATCAATCATTTGGTGATTTACGGTGATTTGGTTCATAGTTTTGCATTTGCTTTGAACTTGTCAACTATGTGAACTTGCACAGGAGGCCTTGGAGACTGAGCAGCCAGTAGAGCAGTAATAACTCGGTAGTAGCACTAAGGATTGTTTCCTTTCACTTTGCTGTTCAGCAACACTGATCATAATGCGCACAAATTGGTGTTTGGAAAGACCACTTGGACATTGTGCAGCACCAAGTGGTACTGAAAAAATCTCACCCTATCATCCAAGCAGCAATCCTTCGAAGAAGGTTGACGAAAGAATGAACCTCTCGCGTTTGTGTTGCGATTGTGAATATGCAAGTCAAGTGCCTCCAAGGGGCTGGCAAGAGCAGAAGCAATCCGGTCTTAGTTTATGTGATGATGACCTTCTTGTGTTTCGGCTCCAGCCTTCAGCTGTGCCTGGAGTGACAAAAAGCGTGCCAGAAGAGATTGAAGACTGGCCGCATGGACACGAGGATCCTTTGTTGCTGCTTATCCTCTCAAAAAGTGCAAGTGAGCGGGCAGAGGATTTCTTCAGTCTCAACTCTACCATCCATGTCAGGATGCTGTCTTTGACCCAGCAGGTGGGCTTCAGTGCCAGTAGCGCCAAGCTGCTTTGATCAGCAATGAGTGAATGTCACTGGCCGATTTGAGACTTTTTGTAGGTGGCCAACTGGGCAGATGAGTTTGATGCTCAAAAGAAACACAAAAATGAAGGCCACGGATACCAGTATTTCCTGCAACATTTGCCGACACACAGGATGGACTACTCGGACAAGTATTGCGATGATATCTACGAATACAGGTGCCCGTACAAATCAATGTCATCCGATGCTTTTGTCGGTGTTCTTGCCTCCATGTGTAAAGCACCCCAATTTAAGAATTCCCCAGTTCCGAGTATGAAGATATAATGGTGTACAGATGTATACAGTATACACTTCTTTGCTCAGCTGTTCTTGCTATTGATGTGGTGTTGATGGCCACGAGTCAAATTAAAGATGGGCAAGAAGGCACCCATTCCTTTGATGCACTGGGTTAATCGGACACCTTAAGAGACGGGACTTCGCAAACCAAGGGGCCGTGCTGTTTAGAACATGTGCATTGTGTAGTTGCAAAATTGCAGCTTTAGCTCACAGCAAAACTATATAGTTTTCTGGCTTCTCCCGCCAGGCGAGTCACTATTCCTCGTAATATGGTCACTGCACTTCCCGTAGGCCGCACAATGGAGGCACGGTTTTGAAGTAGTTGCTAGTTGTGCACAAAGAACTGCAATGATGCGGCGCACATGCAGCGCTGCGAACAAGGAGTGGGAATGGCGACAGAATGGTATCACCATGTAGCGGCCTTAGCAAAACAAAGACAAGAGCAAGATAGCTGCACAGGCTATGGTAGTGTCATTCGCAAAGGCATGATCCAAGGGCACTGACGAGCCAATGGAAAATGAACCCCTACCATAGTCTCCTATGAAACCGGACCACGAATAGTTTTTCATTGTCTCCCTAGTGGCCAGAAGTGTGGATGTCATGTTGTTTTTCAGCTTGAGCATGAGGTCTCGCGGGTGGGAGCATTATGATCATCATGCCCCAGAGGTCTGAATGTTGGCGTAAATACTGTAGTTCTATCAAAGTTTCACCATTTTTAGATCCTTCGCTGCAAGGCAAACGTACTGCTTTTTCGGCGCGTGCTCGGGACTGACCCGAAGACTGGACAGCCTGCACCTCATGAATTTGAAGAAGCACATTGACATGCTGAGAGCCGACGGCCTATCCTTCAGTTCCAGTTCCTGTCTTCGACTGAGGATTCCTCCAAAGATGGCATTGAAAGTGCTCGGCTTATACAGATGTCACATATCTCTTCCAACACAACATGCCACAACTAGTGACTACGGACCACTCTCAGGTGCAGCAGAGAAATCAATACGTTCACGAACTTGAACAGGACCTTTGAAGCATTGCTTTCAGTTCACGACTTCCAACCTTTCTTGTCGCTTTCATGCTTGCACAGGAAAGACAGCGAATGATTCAAGAGCAGGCGAATGTTGAATGCGTCATGTATTCCAAATGCAATCATCGTCATAGCCACATTGCAGCCATGACAGCAAGGCACAACGTGAGCAGACTGGTGGCATGGAGTACTAATTAGGCGGACATGCTCACAGTTGCTGAGGTTGCAGTATCACCCGAATGCATGGCGACAACTGCACGTGTCATGTTAATATTTGTTTCTTGGCCTTAGATTTGGCCTTGAATTTGGGACCACTGCTTTTTGATATTCTTTTTGAAATAATTGTCCGGAAAAAACACCTGCCTCAGTGGTCCCAGCAATTAAAGTGAAACTGCTTGATTAGAAGCGGACATTTGAATCTGGAGGCAGGTCTTTTCTTCACAGGAGTAAGGATTTTCTGATAATGTTTGCTTTTTTGGGGGGAAGCCAGACACAGCAAACCGCCCGGCAACTAGTTCCTACTAGGGAGGGTTGAGTCCGTCCCACATGCATTAAAGAGTGTTGTGTTTCCTTCATAGGGGGAAATGGGACAGGTGCACAGTCACCTGAGGCTTTCACCAAGTCCAGGAGGTAGCGCTACGGGAGTTAATTGCGTTGGGGTAAAGTGCGTGCGGAAGACGCTTGCATGAGCCTGTGCATGAAAGCACGCCTATCATTCGGCTCTAACACAAAACCAATGCTTGTGCTGCTTGTTTTTACACATGTGTGGCATTTTGCAGCCATGGTCTTCAAGTTCCATGCCGGACATACCAAGCCTACATCCATCAATTTTCATATCGCGGCAAGCGTGGCACACTTAACAGTGGATATGTTATCCTTCGATCAACAGCCCATTATTCAGCCGTGTTAATATGTGTATATATATATATTGTTTTTTTGAGAAGACATGTGTGATTTCTCTGAGATTCGCTGAGGACAGGAGACACTGGTGTGGCATTTTCTGAACAAGGTCCCTTGATGTGGAGAGATGTTGAACAACATCTGTAGTAGAATCCACAGTATAGGCAAAATGTCTTCAGACGTCGTGTTCATATTCTCTCATCAAGAGGTTTGTGCCTACTGCAGATTGCGGCATTGGTGCTCCTGTCCCACTACAGATTTTGCACAGACATCAGGCAGTGTTCTTTTTGCGAAATTCATCACCGCCTCCGATCTACTTGTAAACACGTTCAGGCACACACAGAGATCCGCATGATGAACACCAAGGTAGTGCAATTTAGCTTTGCTCAGACTTCGGATTGGCTGTGTCAGTTTGTCGCAATGCGGGAGTCAAGCAAAGCCACAACTTGGAACAACATGTTTCTCATTGTTTCTCTATCGCACAGGGTTCTGGAGAATTTGCAACCTGGGACGTGGACTGTGAGCAGGCCTTTGAGGCCTGACTTCCGTTTTGCCTTTGGCTTCGTTGCCTGTTGCTGTCGACTTAAGCGTTATGTTGTTTTCATTTGTTTTCTTATTGCCTTGCAGCTTTGAATTGCAACTTTCGTGCAGGTTGCTTTGCCACCACGGTGGGAGTTTCGAGACCGGGCGTTTGGTTCGCCTGGGATTTGGAGACCCTTCAACGAGGTCAGCCAGAGTGTTTGCAATGCGTTTGCTTCAATTTCAGTGAAACTATTTGGAGCTGAGTTTATGAATCATGTCAGTGCACACTTGATTTCATGAGGACATATCAGCGAAGTTTTGAGGTTTCGAAACTGTAGCTTTGTTGAAGGAAGAGAGGCGAAGTGTCGATGGCATATAGAAGCAGGGGGCAATGCCTTCCTGGCCCTTCACTGCATGATTCACCTTCTTGGCATGGGCACACCTTGTGAAGGCTGTGAGCTGTGAGATCAATGCGTTGGTTCGTCGCGGTCAGCGCTGGAAGCCCACTGCAAGTATCGTTAAGCATTCAGCATCATTCTTCTGTACCGTTTGAACCAAGTGAGTTTAGCCTCTGGGTACGCCTACCAATCTCATCCAATCTCCCCAGTTTGTAATCAAAGTCGGAATCGCCAAGCTCTTCTATATAAAGTTATATATATATATATAGATCGTGCTTCCTGGTTTTGCCAAGTTTGTTTGATACAGTCAGCGGTCAGCAATTTGGCAACAGGAAAATAGCATTCAGTAGACCGACAAGACTTCTGAGATGTACACATGGCAAAGGGTAACAAATTTAGCAGGGATTCAGACAGTTGGAGAATGTTTCGATACAGAAGACACCTGCATTGAGAAAGACATTGGCAGAAAGGCGGAGGACTACGCAAGACTCACAATTCTTCATTTCTGCCTCGCAAGAAATGAGGATGAACATGGTGCTTTGTCTGAGAGCTAAGACATGCTGCTAAGGCCGCGGAAACGTGTCCATAAGCGGAGCAGAGTTTGCCGTGGATTTGCAGGTGCTGTTTCCAGATATGCCAACAGGCTATGGACATAAAGTTGCAAAGCACCTTGTGTTTGTCACAAAGTCACGACTGCGGAATCCAGGCGATCAAGTTGCCTTGTGGTGATTGAATCACACTCATCTCTATATGTACTTCTTTGCTCAGATATCTTTCTACGGTTTCCCATCTTAAAGTATTGACCAGGACATGGTTGCCATGCCAACTGACCAGTATGCTGCGGGGGCCCTGGATGACCTTAGCGCATTTGACAGACCTTAGCGCATTTGACAGGGCTGGACTCCAAAAAAGATTGCAGCGTCCTGGATTGCTTATCCATCGAGGTTCCAAGAGGCCTGCGGAAAAATGTGAGACAACCCAATGTCAACAAGAAGGCTTTGCGGGCTGTTTACCATTTACCTCTACGGATATCAATGGACTATGCTGGCGATCGCAGTACTGAATGTACAGTAATCATTACTGTATGTAATCATGTCTCATGTCCAAGAGCATGCACTTTGCAAGGCTTTGCGACAGCTTTACCAGAAGTGCCGTGCTTAGTAGTGTTCTCCCTGTCAAGAGGTATGGGCAGGTTGAATCCAGCATTGATGGTCTCTTTTCAGGTACGCGGAGGAGTTGCTGCCAGCAGACCATCCAGGAGGAACTTTGATCCTGATCCTGCCGTGTGAAAGCAATGATTGCATGTTTCTCAAACTGGGGAGGCTCCCCTCATTCTGAGACAGATCCCTTGATAGACATTGTTTTGTAGATGCACAAGCAGAAGAACTCAGAGGCACGTAAGGATGGATACTGGAATCAAAAACGTACGCACATATGAAGGCACTAGTGCGTGGCACCACCCATGGTAGCTCTATCCAAGTTCCAATAGTTCCACGCACTGCACAACCAATTTGGAGTGCACCACAAAGTCATTTGTGAGTCATTCACTGTTCCTTGACAGGGCCAGACGGCATTGCTGGCGACAAGTTTCTTGAATTGTTCAAGGACGCAGGGAAACACATTCACCTGAGCGACTTGACTTTGGAATCAATCGGATGTTCATCTCCGTGCAAGTACTTTGTCGCTTGAGGTGACTATATATAATTAGTCAAAAAAAAAGGAAACTTCAATAAAGAAAACAAGGTAAGGGCCCCTTGCCTTCTTGTTCTTCTCTTTACCTTAGTCACCTCGGACAGGACTTGGAAGTAGATCCTGGAACTGATGTTGCAGCCCTCGCACTTGCTTCTGCACCGCCGGCTTTTGCGCATGCTCATTCGGCTTTGCTGCTTTTTCAATCGCTTTGCTAGGCTTGCAATGCTGCGGAGATGGGTGTTTTTCGAAGGCCCAATGCCAGGATGCTGGGTGCTGTACGTACACATGTGTAACTCGATGCAAGGACTTTTGCATCTCTGCAACAATCAATCAGGAATTGCTGTAAATCGCAGATAGAATGCTGCAGTGACAGTGGAAAGTCCACGTGCCAGGCGAGAATTCATTTGTGGTTGCGCTGCATTGGAGGCCAATGAGACAAAACAGTTTGGGGCAGCCTAAAGGTTGCTGGCCGTTGAAAAAGTGCAAGAATGCTCAATCTCGCACGGCAAAGTGTTGAGCCCACTCCTTCCCACGAGGTCGACAACATTGCAGACCTTCGCGGCAAAATGCCAGAATTACGAGATAATGTCATATCTGGCAAGTCATTGCCAGAAGTTTATGCGTACCCTGATGTCCAATGAGCTTGCCTCCGTTCAATCTAAAGCACTTGTGGCACTTATTATTACCAGGTACACCTTTGGGGTTGCTCTGGAGCCCCCTTGCAAACTGCTGCCTCTTGAAGAGGCCGGAGCCGTGCCAAACAAAGTTCAAACCATAGTTGCATGTTTGTTGGAGGCTGCGCAGTACTGGGCTCTCTTATTGCCAAATTGGCCTTTACGGGAAGACTTTTGTGACTGGGCGATGAGGCTAGGCAGCAACTTTGCGTGTATCTGCGGTGATGCTAAATTTGGAGTACGGAAGGTATCTTTCACATGAGAGGAAGAGAGGAAGAGACAGAGAGAGAGAGAGAAGGAGAGAGAGAAGGAGAGAGAGAAGGAGAGAGGGAGAGAGAGAGAAGGAGAGAGAGAAGGAGAGAGAGA